TCCCAAGGGTTTGGCACACCTGGGCACTTTCATTGGCACCCATGGTTAGAAATCTTGGAGGTTAAAGAGAAGTACAACCTGCTTGGTTGGTGGTCTAACAGTAACTAACATTTATTTTCTGAGAGAATACAAATTAATAATATCATGCCTTGCTTCAATGTCGTTCTTGTTTCTACTTCAACACTCCTTCTCAAGGACGATGTTCTGCAAGCCAATCTCCTCCCGTATCTTCTGCAGCTTAATTCGGCCGAGTGGTTTTGTCAGCGCATCCGCTAACATCTCTTTTGATGGACAATACACGATGTTGAGGACTCCTGATCCGCACAAATCCCGGACAAAGTTATACCTGGTATCGATGTGCTTTGTTCGTCGCGTCACTCCTTCGGCACTCAGCATACTGATACAGCTTTGGTTGTCTTCGTAGACGGTCACGGGTTGCTGTATATCCTCGCATAATACTTGCAGTAACTTGAGCAGCCAGAGAAGCTCTTTGGTGGCCTCCGCAAGTGCGACATATTCCGCTTCGGTTGAAGACAAGGTCAAGCACTCCTGCTTGCGAGCTGTCCAGTCAGGGTCAGCGTATCCTTCAAGATTGCCTCTTCCTCCCAGTCGCAGCTTTAGTACAGCAGTACCCTTCAAATACCGCAGGGCTCGTTTCGCTTCCGTCCAGTCACGTTCCGTTGGTTTGCTGACTTTGTGCCCAAGGATGGACGCCGTGATCGCTAAATCGGGTCGTGTGCAAACAGCAACGTAGAGCAAAGCTCCCACAAGGCTCTGGTATTTGTCGATGGTAAACATTTCCTCCTCCTTTTGCTCTATAGTGATGAACCCGGGGTCCATCGGAATCGGTGACGATTTTGCTTGTTCCATCCCAAACGTGGTCAGCATCTTCGAAATGTACGTGTCTTGACACAATAGGAAACTTCCATCAGCATCACGTTCAACACGAATCCCAAGGTAGTTGCTTACATCACCCAGACACGAAATCTTGAATTTCTGCTCCAGGTGCTTCCGTACTCGTTCGTCCTCCTTGACGCCGTCGGTGACGATCAACATATCATCCACATACAGTAGGATGAAGGACAACTCACGACCGGCCTTTACGAATAGACAGCTATCGGCTTCCGTTGCTTCGTACCCCAGCTTCTTCAGAACGTCGGTAATGGTCTTGTTCCAAACCCTTCCTGCTTGCTTCAGGCCGTACAAGCTCCTCCTCAAATGGCATACATCCGTTGGACTTCCGGTTTCATACCCTTGTGGCTGACGCATGTAAATTGTCTCCGAAATTTCCCCATACAGATACGACGTCTTGATGTCGACATGCTTGACCTGCATCTTTCGGCGTGCTGCTACCGACAGGAGCGCCCGGAACGTGGCGTGTTTTGCAACCGGCGCGTAGACCTCGTCGTAGTCAGTACCAAATTTTTGGCTGTACCTTTGAGCGACAAGTCGGGCCTTGTATCTTGCTACATTCCCGTCCTCATCCAGCTTCTTCTTGAAAATCCACCGGCAGCCTACTGGTTTCCGATTGGCTGACGATATCCCATGTGGAGTTTTCCTGCAGCGACGTATACTCCTCGTCCATCGCTTTCTTCCAGTGTTCACGCTCTGCACCCGACAGTGCTTCTGCTAGCGTCGTCGGCTCGAACGATTGCTGACTTATCAGCATGCTGATTTCAGTGAATCGGTTCGGCGGTACCCCTTTGGCTGACCGACTTGAGGCACGTATCGCGATACACGTGGACAATGGATCTCTCGGTGCGTTGAGGGGACGTTCATCGGCATTGTGTTGCTCGGTGAGCGTAGCGTCCTCGTATGGTTCGTTGGATGTATCGTATTGATCCTCTTCCGCTTCGGATTCCGACACAAGTTCTTCCTCATCGTCAGTTGGCTCACCGAGAACGTTCCCTGCAACGATAGGAAAATTATTAGTTTTTGGATTGTCGGTCAACTGGAAGTCAATAATACTTCCATTGTCATCTTCTTCGTCCTGATGGAAGCTGCATGTCGGCAAAAATCGAGCATCTCTGCTATTGATAATGTGTCCAGTGCTTCTATCCAGGAATCGGTACGCTTTTTGTTGCACCGAATAACCAACGAAAGTCATCTTCTGCGCCGCTGCATCCAACTTCGTCCGGTTTTGCTTCGGGATCCACACATAAGCGTCTGCACCAAAAACTTGAAGGTGACCCAGGTCCGGTTTTTCTCCCCACCATGCTTCGTAAGGTGTGGTCTTCAATGACCTGGTCGGAAGTCGATTTTGAAGATAGTTCGATGTGTTCATAGCCTCCGCCCAGTACCTCGTCGGAAGCCTTGCATCCAGCAGCATACAGTTGCCCCGTTCTGTTGCGGGGTGTGTGGAATAGTGAACTGCTGCCTGATTCCTTCTTTCTTGAAAAAACTCTCCAGTGACCTGTTCTTCAACTCACCACCATTGTCGGAACGCACAATCTTCGGCGGTCAGCCAAACGTCGTCTTCACTTCCATCACAAAATCTCTCAGCTTCTCCTCAGCATCCGATTTCTCCCGCAGGAAAAACACATTTGTGTAGTGAGAATAATCGTCGGTGACGGTGAAATAGTACCGACATCCTCCTGGTATGACATTCTTCATCGGACCACACACGTCCACGTGGATGAGGTCCAAAGGCTCTTTCGATCGTTTCTTAGACTTCTTCGGAAACGGAAGTCTCGCCAATTTACCTTTTTGGCAGCACTCGCAAACAGACCGTATACCACAGTCTTCGATTTTCATTCCGGTTACTAGCTCCTTTTTCACCAGCTCCTGGACAGCATCGTTATCTCGGTGACCCATCTTCCTGTGCCACACGTGTTGGCAGTTTTGCGTGTGCGATTTCACCCCGGTCTTCAAAGTGTTGTGGGCGTTTTTTATGACGTACAAACCACTGGACACAGTTGCCACTGCTGCAACTTGCGCTCCTTTCATGATTCTGCAGTTTTCGGTGTCGAAAATCACCTTTCCGCCTTTCGCTACCAGCTTGCGCACCGAGATCAGATTCGTCTCTAGATTCGGTACAAACAGGGTATCTGAAAGCGTAATTGTTCGTTTGTTACCTTCCAGATCGTAGCAGTCCACTTCGCATGTTCCTTTGTCCTTCGCAGCTGTCATCGTCCCGTCGGCTAGCGTGACGTTTTCCTTTACTGCTTCATCCAGCTCAAGGAAGATTTCCTCTCGGCGCACATGTGCGATGTCGCCCCAGAGTCAACGATCCAGTTGCCGGTTTCACCAGTCCCTTTCGCCGTGAAAGCACAGTTGTCATTTTTCGCTTCTCGAACCGCCTTCGCTTTGTATGGATTCTTTCGGTGCTTCTGGTCGCTTCTGCTTTCTCCTTCTTGATCGCTTGCTAGCTTCCGACAGTCCCGCTGCTTATGAACCGGCTTCTGGCAAAAATGACAGACGATTACCTTCTTACCAGATACAGCGCTCAGAATGGTCTCCGCGTTGTAGCTACCATGTTTCGTCACTTCGTCGACCAGCATGGTTTTCACGAGCTCCAGCGTCAATTCATCGTCCGCCCGACGCGGTCGTCAGCGTGTTGAACGATTTTGGTAGACTACTGAGCACCAACGCAACCTACATCTTTTCGTCCAGCTTCAATCCTGACACGGAAAGACGTTCGAAAACTTCCTCCATTTCGTTCACGTGCTTCTCCATGTCCTCGCCTTCACAGTACCGTTTGAAAATCAAGTTCCGCAGGTACGATACCTTCGATGTCAACGTCGGCTTCCCGAAATGGTCCTTCAGCTTGTCCCACGCTTCACGAGCCGTTTTCGTCTGCTTGATGAGACCATGCAGGTTTGTCTCCATCAAAATACCGATGGTCGATCAGCGGCAGTTCGGTGCTGAACTTCCAGCTGCTGTAATTCGTTCGGTTCAACTTCGGGATTTGAATTTTCTCCATTTTACCTGTCTTCAATGAAAATTTTCTTCCGTTGTTGATCCGTTTCTTGGCAACCCAAGTGCTGGGCCCATAACCTCTTGGAGGTTGAAGAGAAGTACAACCTGCTTGGTTGGTGGTCTAACAGTAACTAACATTCATTTTCTGAAAGAATACAAATTAATAATAGCATGGCTTGCTTCAATGTCGTTCTTGTTTCTACTTCAACAAGAAATTTTCATAATTTTTAAGGTAACTGGCGACACTGTATATTCATAGAGGTAACTCTAAGACCACTGGGTCCCGAAGAAAATCATTATTATTTTTGGCTCACTCAGTACCAGAACAACGGTCCCAAGCAGTCCCAAGCTATTTCACTCACCCCTGCATGTTCTGCATGAATCCACACACCCCTGATGTTATCTGTCAAACTTTCATAGCGAATCAAAACAAACATAGTGTAGTAATAGAATTTCAACTAGAATAGGGTACGTTAATCGTTTGCTTGGGACCAATAGGCTACTAAAGTGGTGAGCCAGTTTAAAATCGTTAGTTTCGTATTGATTGTTGGTATATTTGCGCCTGATCTGTGCACGTGTCAAAATGTTAATCATTGTTGTTGACACAATCCAACTTTTGGTTTCATAACTTCAACCGTGAATTTCCGGCGAAGTTCTGCCATGGATTCCTCACAGCGCACATATTTTCGAAACATTTGCTAAAAACCGATCAAAAGTCAACGCGGTATGCTTGCGGGATGAGCGAGGTCATCAAGACTGTTGGGTACCCCTCACCGATTTCACCATAAGGGCTCGTCAGCTGGCAGCCGTTAGCCTGACAGATGCAACCACGGATGAATCGGTGATGAGCTGTCATCATGAAGATTAGAAGTTTTGCGATAGCCGCTATTTACACGCATTATGTACTAGCCTTTTAACTAACAAAAATAGTTTTAAATTTGTATGTACCGTGAATCGTGCGTTTCTCTCCCTCACTCAATATCGCAACAGTTGGCGACGAGGAGAGGGAAGTTTTCGCGAAAAAATCGTGCGCGACCGTTTCGTAAAGCTCCAGTAAAAATCGTGCTTAGGAGGACACCGTGATGGCGCAGAACAATGGTGTGCCGCCGAATGCAGGTGCCGGACAGATGCCACAACCACCGAACATTCAGGATCAGGTGATGCAGATCCTCACGAATCAGCAGATTTTGATGGCGCAAATGGCACAACAGCTGGCCGCCACCCAAGTTGCCATCAGGAATCTCTCCCCCGATGAAAGAGTGCTGGACTCGTTATCGAGTAACATGGCGGAGTTCGTGTATGACAAGGACAATGGTCACACGTTCGACGCATGGTTTTCTAGATACGTCGATCTCTTTGATAAAGACGCTAGAAAGCTCGATGACGCGGCAAAAGTGCGACTGCTTCTGCGAAAGCTAAGCCCACCCGATCACGAGCGCTATAATAGCTGCATAGTCCCGAAGCTCTCTCGTGAGTTCTGTTTCAAAGAGACCGTCGAAAAGTTAAAGTCTCTATTCGGAGCCACAGTATCTGCTTTTCGCCGCCGATTCAATTGCCTTCAACTCGCAAAGGAGGACAGTGATGATTACCTGGCATACTCATGCAAGGTTAATAAGGCTTGCTTCGATTTCAAGCTTTCGGAATTGACTAAAGAGCAATTCAAATGCCTTATTTACGTCTGCGGTCTAAAGGGAAAGCAGGATGCTGAAATCCGAATACGGCTTATCAACAAGTTGAATGAAGCCGTCGATCTTACGCTACTGCAAGTCGTGGAGCAGTGTAACAGCCTCGTCAACCTAAAGCAGGACACCGTCCTAGTCGAGAATCCGTCGTCCGTGGTGAATGCCGTTGCTTACAATAAGTGGCCGAAGTCGAGACATCAGTCAGCAGTATCGAATTCGTTCCATCCCCATCAACGTGAGCAACCGAAGACTCCCTGCTGGTCGTGCGGGGGGATGCATTACAATAAGGACTACCGATTCCGCGACCGCAAATGCAACGAGTGCGGTAAGGTTGGGCACCGCGAGGGCTATTGTGCCTGTTTCCAATCGAGGGCTTCGTCTAACGCATCGACACACACTGCATCGAAGAAGAAGCGACCCTCAACGAAGACCGTGACCATCCACAACATCAGCCAGGGTAGAAAATTCGTCGAGCTCCAGGTCAACAACTTTCCTCTTCGATTACAATTGGACACAGGATCCGATATATCCATAATTTCGCACCGATCGTGGATCAAAATGGGTCAGCCGAAAACGAAACCAACGGTGTGCACCGCACGAACGGCTTCCGGACATCCACTCAAGCTGGTTGCCGAGATGTGGTGCAGCATTATCCTCAACAACGTCACCAAAGAGGGTAAGTGCTTCGTTGCCGCTCCTAACGTCGGTCTTGATATTTTAGGCATCGACTGGATGGATTTGTTTGGGTTATGGAACCAACCTATCGCATCGTTTTGTAATCAGGTCAGCGCTCAACCAAATCAGTCGCTGGCTACTCTGCAAGCCAAATTCCCGGAAGTATTCAGCAGCAAGGTAGGCCTCTGCACGAAGGCTCCTGTCAAGCTGGTACTGAAAGGAAACCCGAAGCCAGTTTTTAGACCAAAGCGTCCCGTAGCCTACTGCATGGAAGGTGTGGTAGAGGATGAAATCTGTCGGTTGGAGTCCCTAGGCATCTTGAAGAAGGTGGATTTCGCTGAGTGGGCAGCCCCGATCTTAGTGGTTCGGAAGTCCAATGGAACCGTCCGAATCTGTGCTAATTTTTCAACCGAGCTCAACAATGTGCTGGAGCCAAATCAGTACCCCCTACCGCTGCCCGAAGACATCTTCGCCAGAATGTCCAGTTGTCGGGTGTTCAGTCACATCAACCTTTCCGATGCCTACTTACAGGTCGAGGTGGATCCAGAAAGCCAACAATTGCTCACCCGCTTATCGCCCGGCATCAAATCCGCTCCAGGTGCATTCCAACAGCTAGTGGATACGACGGTCTCACTTGTACCGTTGGGTATTTGGACGACATCGTAGTGGGTGGTCGAACGCAAGAGGAACATCAACGCAATCTTCACCTCACCTTGCAACGGCTGCAAGAATTCGGCTTCACGGTCCGCATCGAAAAATGCAGCTTTTACATGCGGCAAGTGAAGTACCTCGGACAAATACTCGATAGTGACGGGATTCGTCCGGATCCAGACAAGATTGCACCGATCGTCAGTATGCCAACACCGAACGACGTTACCACACTGCGGGCGTACCTTGGAGCTGTAAATTATTATGGCAAATACGTTCCAGAGATGCGCACCCTTCGACACCCTATGGATCAACTACTGAAGACTGGTGTAAAATTCGAGTGGTCACCAGCTTGCCAAAGATCGTTCGACCGCTTCCGAGAAATCCTCCAGTCCCCACTTCTGTTGACGCACTATAATCCAAACTTGGAAATAGTTGTGTCGGCGGACGCTTCCTCAATCGGGCTGAAAGCTATTTGCCATGCTTCGCGCAGCTTGACAGCAGCGGAGAGCAATTATAGCCAAATCGAGAAGAAGGGTTTGGCTCTGATATTCGCCGTGACCAAATTTCACCGAATGATTTTCGGGCGGCGTTTCGTGCTCGAGACCGGCCACAAACCTTTGCTTGCCATATTTGGGTCGAAAAAGGGCATCCCCACATATACCGCCAATCGACTGCAGAGGTGGACGTTGACATTACTTTTATATGATTTTGACATCCATTATGTCTCGACGGAAGCTTTCGGACAAGCAGATATCCTGCCTCGCCTGATCAATCGCCATGTTCGTCCGGAAGAGGAATTCATCATTGCCAACGTCGAGTTCGAAAGTAGTATCCGAAGCATCATGAACCAGTCGCTGGAGGCCCTGCCAGTTTCGTTCAAGATCGTACAAGCCAAGACCCGTAAGGACAAAACTCTGCAACAGGTAGCCCAGTACGTCAAAACAATGTGGCCGGAGAATAAAGCTAGCATCACGAATCCACACATCCAGCAGTTTTTCCATCGTCGCGAGGCCCTCTCAATCACCGCTGGCTGCTTGATGTACGGTGAACGATTAGTGCTACCAGTCGTTCTTCGAAATAAAGTGCTTGCACAGCTACATAAAGGCCATCCAGGTATCGACCGAATGCGTTCTCTTGCGCGTCAGTACGTCTACTGGCCCAATATCGATAAGGATATCGAACACCTGGTGCAAACGTGCAATGAGTGTTTGAGTGTAGCGAAGACGGATCATAAAACCTGCCTCGAGTCGTGGCCAGCCCTGGAAAAACCCTCGCAACGAATTCATCTCGATTACGCCGGTCCTATGGATGGGTGGTACTACTTCATCCTAGTGGACGCCTACACCAAGTGGCCGGAAGTGGTCCAAACAAAAGATATTACATCTGCAGCGACGCTCCGAATCCTACGCAACATTTTTGCCAGATTCGGGTTTCCAGAGACGGTGGTGAGTGACAACGGGACTCAATTTACGAGCGAAGTATTCGAGGCTTACTGTGAGTCCAACGCTATTCTGCACCTGAAGACTGCTCCCTATCATCCGCAGTCGAACGGGCTCGCTGAAAGGTTTGTCGACACCTTTAAGAGGACGTTGAAGAAAATTACCGCCGGAGGGGAAACGCTGCAAGAAGCTATCAGCACTTTCTTACAGTGTTACAGGTCAACACCATGTCGGAGCGCACCCGAAGGAAAGTCGCCTGCCGATATTTTGCTCGGCAGACCAATTCGCACGTCGTTAGAACTGCTTCGACCACCAACTCCAACGCACAAAATTGAAAACTCCAAGCAAGAAGAGCAGTTCAACCGGAAGCATGGTGCGATACCAAAGAGCTACTCTCATCAGGACCTTGTCTGGGCCAAAGTGTTCCGAAACAACAAGTGGCACTGGGAAGCAGGAGAAGTGCTTGAACGTATCGGCAAGGTCATGCACAACGTCTGGTTGCCTGGAAAGAAATCTCTGATAAGGTCCCACAGCAATCAGTTAAGAACCCGTCATCTGTCCGACAATCAACTGCCTGCGTTCGAATCACCAAGGGATCAGCAAACTCCGTTGAGTATACTGCTGGGCTCCTGGAACCTAAATGCTTTAACGCCCGAACTGGATGATCTGCCTCCTCTTCCTCCTGAGCTGAATGAAGATCTGCCCCCGCAGGTCAGTCATCGTCAACAACACAGTTCCTCTCAACAACAGCAACAACAACCAACAGCAGCTCGCACGTCTTCGAGGACTCGAAGGCTTCCTGCAAGATATGAGCCTTACCATATGTTTTAAAAAGGGGGAGGTGTTGGGTACCCCCCACCGATTTCACCACAAGGGCTCGTCAGCTGGCAGCCGTCAGCCTGACAGATGCAACCACGGATGAATCGGTGATGAGCTGTCATCATGAAGATTAGAAGTTTTGCGATAGCCGCGATTTACACGCATTATGTACTAGCCAGTGCTGAGATTTGTCATTGTCATTGACAGACTTTTGCACGATATTGACAAAATTGTTTTTCACATAGTCAATGATAGACTTGATCCTCAAAAAAATCTTTGTCAAAATCTCATTCATTTTTTCGTCAATGACAAAGATTCACCTGGTAACAGAAAGTGTAATTCCTTGCATTCTGAGACACATTATTGTTATCCAAGCGGTTCAGGACGTAGATGCTTATTCACTTTAATTGCTCCATGTAATTGTTTTGCTCAAGCCATTTAATTTCATTTCAAATTTAGCTAATAAACAAATCAGCACATGTTCGTCACTGACAAAAATGGTACTGACAATTGACATGGTTTGCCTTGACGATGACTGTTAGCTCAAACGAGTGACCAAAGCAGAATTTTGAGTATCACCGTGTATTGTCGAAATTGTGCAGCACTGACTAGCCTTTTAACTAACAAAAATAGTTTTTAATTTGTACCGTGAATCGTGCGTTTCTCTCCCTCACTCAATATCGCAACAAAGACGATGACTGTTGCCAAGTTCAACTGTAATCTGGGGGTGATACTGGAATTCTTCCGGATAGTGCTGGAGTCGCTACCGGAAGACGTCGAGATCAGAGAACCTCCAGTCGAACTGTTCAAGGATCTGGTGCGGAAGGCTTTGGTGGTGAACAGTTTGATCGAAGTTGGAAAGGGGGTGGCAATGTTCCGGAAACTGATTGAAAATATGACCATGAAGAGACTGCTATTGCTCATAATGCCGATTCGGAATGTGATTAGTGAGTTGGTTAGTAGGGATAGCGAGACCCTGAAGGAAGTAGTGAAGGGAACTTTAAAGACGTTGGTAAATCGATTTGGAGCGGGAAAATTCGTGACGGAGCTGAAATCACAGTGGAATTTTAAAATGTTGATTGGTCAGTTGTTGGGTTTGAAGATAAGCTTCTGAAAGTCGACATCGGTGAGTTGGTTGATAGATAGGTTTAGCTCTCGAACACGACCCTGGCACAGATGAAGTCCCGGCGAATTGTAAAGTAACCGGTGTTTTCCATGGTGCTCAGCGATTGGAGCAATTCGATAAGCATTTCAAAATCGCGATTTTTGCAATATTCCTCGTAGAACTGACCCGAACGTAGCTTTTCGAACTCTATGAGATACGCCAAACCGCATAGTGGTCGTTTACCATGTTTGATTCCGTAACGCTTCACCACTTCGTTGAGCGGCTAACCGACATTCAGTTCCATGATTCGTTCCTCATCGTAACTGACATCGATGAATTCGCCTTCGATGATCACTCGGTCCATGCCGGAGGTAGAATCTTCACCGGTGTTTGCTTTCCAACCATCAACAGCGCCCCAGCGTTTACAGGTGTTCTCTGGCCAGCACTGCTTTGCACCAGAGACATCATACTTATCTCCATTTATCCGATCGTTGAACTGTCTGACCGTGTGGACATATTAAACCCCACCTCCACCAGGGAAGTCTGATTCCGGTTGAAACTCACACAAGAACGCTGGCGACGCACCTTTGACTGAGTCGATGGCTTTCGGAAGAAACTCCTCCCGAAAGCGTTCATCAGAATCTGAAGAGCATCTGGACCAGTTTCCTCTGATGATGCACGCTCGCTTCATCTACTTATCGCCGTCACCTGTGGTTCATCCGAGTCCTCATCATACTCCAATCCAGTAGAAGTTTTTGTCCTGTCGGAAATTGGAACTGCCTCCCCCGGAGATCGTTCTCGCTCGAAGCTTCGATTTGGTGGCCGAGGCCGTTGCTTATTAGGTTCAGTGTAGTCTTTTTACCGAGAGAATTTGGGAGCAACGATCCGAGAGTCACGACAGTTAGGATCTGGGATAGGATTCCACTGCTTGTTGTTTTATTTCTTCAAAACAAAACATGTGAACTGTCAAATTCGGGTTGCCAAACATACCATTATACAAACAAAAAAAATCAGTCTGATGACACTCTCGGCACTGCCGGCAAACTGCGGCACACGGGAGTGTGTACAGTGACACCCCCCTTGGATTTTCTTAAATCGGCATGAATTGGGTTCTTTAATTTTGAAAAATGTATCGTTTTTTATACATCATCTGAAAGAGCTTCGTTTTCGGAGCACAGCGATATTTTTTTTCGAACCCACACACTTTCATCTCGATTTTTAAATCAAGATTTAAAGCAAAATAATAACTTCACTGTTTGACACTAAACTAACAAACTGACAGCTCGCTCCCATACAAAGTGACACCGAGGGGCGCTAATAAGGTGATTTCTGCAAATGTAATCATACTCATTTAAAATAGTTCCAGTGTACCAAAATTGATGAAATTTTGGGTTTGGGTTCCATTTTTAATGCAGATTACGAATATGCATTTACCTCAATACCCTAGAAGAACCCAATTGTCAAAGGCGAAATTTCATAGAATTCTGGGAACCCTCGCCGTAATCCTGTCCGGTAGTTTAAAAAAATCTCCTCAACCAAATTTTCCTCAATTATGGCCATCTTGGTCTTTGCCGTAATGGCAATTGTCACAGCAAACCCCATTACGCTGTAAAATCAAGAAAATCATGACAAATGCGGTCTATTCTAAATATAGCCAGACCAGACAGCCCCCCAGACTAGACAACCGTTACCGGTTTCGTGAGTGGGCCACATGTAATTGCGTCGTTGCGGATCGTGAGCTGCGAATCCTTTGAATCCAACTTTGAGCCTCGAAGGGCATCCACACACAAGCAGGCGCTGCACTATGAACGAGCCCCGTGGAGCTCAAGGAGCAATGCAGACGCAGGAGGCGACGCGTCACAATTTCCGGCAAAATCGGCAACCGTTAACGCACATTCAAATACACGCTGGCTATATCTGGCTATGGGCAATCAAGCTTCTAATTCTGATTGGAGGAGAACGAGGAGGAGTAGGAGCACGGTAATGGCGAGTGAGCGAGCAAAAAATCAACGAAATCAAAACTGAATGATATAAAAACGGACAAGGTTCTCGTAGGAAGAAAACCTGTTGCGCAACCAGAGACAAGCCTCTTAGGTCACATCAAACGTTATACACACCTGCTGATGCTGGTTCTATTGTGTGCGGCTCTTAGAAACCTCCGTCCGGACTCGGTCGTGTGTTTCGCGAGGACGCTTTTCGATGGAATAAAACTGTCTATTAGACTGCGAGGCTAACGACTCACATGCGACAGGGCATGGAAGATATTAATGGGTTTTCAGCTGCCATCGTTTCGTTCCTTGCCGATCACGAGGTTTGCCAGGTTTGAATTTTTAAATGAAAAGAATCAGCAGGCTGGGCCCCGGGTGGATGGCTGACGGACGGATTACAACGGTTGCTTAGATTGATGATTCAAAATTTGAAAATCACGTGCTAATGAAAGGTGCACTGAACTCCAGAATCAGAACGTTTCGGCGGCGGACCGATAGACAGAGTGACGGTTGAAATCTTGGTCTACTAATCCCGTTAACCGCCGGGATAGAACAGATTTCCATTTCGCCTGCCCACGAAGGCAACGCCCTATATAATTTATGGAGATCCTTTTCAGACCCGCGGACAGCAGATTGATTGACGCGGGCATGGTAGACTGCAAAATCACTCTTCTTTTACGTCACTGGTGGATCAGAATCAGCAGACCTTCTCCTTTGTGTCTATGCTACGGTTCCAGGTGATTTGCATCATCCTCGGTGAAAATAGAGATTCAATTAAGCTATTTGAATGACAACCGTTACGAACTTGCGCAACCCACCCGGCTTGCTATGACATACTTTGCAAGGAAAGCGAAACCACTGCCATGCCTATATGGGCTACTGCGACGGCAGCATTTTCTCTACATCGCTATAATTTCACCATCATGACAGCTGGATTGACAAATCTAGGGCTCCCGGAACTGTCAGCCTCTCGCAACTCAATCAAACGGCCAATCGAGAAAGATGCAAATGAACAACACTAGTCGGCCAAGTATCGAATTGGATTTTGAAAACAAAACAAAATCTATGACAACTCTTCTCCTAAGCGGTCCCTCGGGCCCCGGGGCGGACAATCACCACACTTTCGACCTACCTTTTTTCAGAGGAACATTTGGCAAACCCATACCGTAGAGAAATGACTTTGCAAAAAGTTCGCCAACTGCAATCATCGACCCCCATAGCTTGCCATGATGCCGCCCTTCTCCGAAAGGACCTCGAGCGGTGTTTTTTTTTCTCGCATCTCTCTTGTCGTCGTCGTCGGAGCTGTGGCAAAACTGTGGGCTTCCGTTGCATCACTTGAATTTCTTAGGAATTTGCACGACCGGGGTCCAATGTCGGTTGGAATGCCTGGTTCGTTGCTTTCTACAGAAGAGGGACTAGCTATACCTACACAAATGGACAGACGACCGTGGGGCGGAGTGGCGCCATTCACATTGTCTTCGGAACCAACCCGGCCGGCGGCCAGTGAAATCTGTGTCAAAGAAAGTGAAGTCATAAATTATCAAACCCCTGCCCACTGTCCCTGCAGCGGGGGACCAAAACCAAATTTTCGACTGAGGCACCGCAGCGTTTCTGGGCCGGATTCGTTGCATTCGCTCCGGTGCAATCGGATGACGACACATCCTGTTCTGTGCGAGCAATGCGATTCGATTTCATCGAGGTTACGCAACCGCCCGGGACCGCAGCGTGAAATTGGGCGCACCGAAATTGTTGTCCATATTTAAACGGGAAAACCGTGAACTTGAGTTGTGCTTGGTCTCATCACCGACGCTGTTCAGACAAACTCAGAAAGTGGGTAAATTGGGTGAATCAATTACCTAAACGTGGCCACTTAGATTGGGATTGCCATATATGATGTTATCAACAGTTTTAAGTTCTGA